GGAAATGTTGGGGGTGATGGATATGTTCATTATCTTGAATGTGGTGATGGTTTCACATGAGTATCAAACATCAAATTGTATACTTCAAATATGTACCATTGACTGTGTATCGATTATGCCTCAATAAAACTGTTTAAAAAAAGGAAAAAAGAACAAACTCCAATATGCCTCCTTTTGATCTCTGTGTCCAGGTTTCATATACTCATGCTTTAGGGGCTGCTGAGATTGGTTAACTTAACTGATCCGTGTATGGAAGACCATGATCACTGAGCCTCCCTCATAGAAACATCTTCAGGGGCTGAAGACAGCCTCCCAGCCATGCTTGCTGTCTTACTCAAGACTGAACCCAGTGCAGCCAAGGCTTCTCCATCTGCCCTCCCAGCAATGTCACAGAGCCCATTCTGGAGCAGAAACCACTTGTCATTCAACTTTGTCATCACAGAAGTATCTTACCCAGAGCCTGGTAAGTGTCAGATGTGTATTTGCATATTAAAATGAATTGAGTGGAATCAGAGTGCATCTACTCATAGGTATACTTTGGCCCAGGATTTTATAAGAAGCTCGTTAACTCAGGTAACTTTTGTTTTTGGATCTAAGGTACACAGTCCCATAGCAGATAAATTATCTACTCAAATTGCTGACCATTTTGCAAGTCCCTGACAAATGATACCGGAGTATTTGGCAACTGAGCATGACTATCTAGAATCTTGGTCTATAGCCAGTGGCTCAACTTTCTATCACTGCAAACTCCTCACTCTCTAGGTTATGAACCTACAGTCAGGTTGGCTGTCTGGGTCTTTTGCATCCATCCTTGTAACCCTGCCTTCTGCCTTTACTTGAGTCTGGTTTTTGACTGTACCAGTAACTCCCCTCAAAACAGACAAAACATGACTAAAGGCAGAACAGGCTAAAATTACCTTCACAATTGTTCGCAATGCTGGCTGCACATCAGGGTCCTCTGGAGAGATTCTTTTTTAAGAGATAGAGATACCCTTAACTGACAAATCTGAAGAGTCCTTCTACCCCACCCTCTCCAACTCCTTTTAAAAAAATTTTATTGAGGTATATAGTTGATGTACAATATTATATGTTTCAGGTGTACAACATAGTGATTCACGGCTTTTAAAATAACACTCCTTTTATAGTATGAGAACACTTACATGTGGAATCTAAAAAATAAAACAAACTAGGGAATATAACAAAAAAAAGAAGCAGACTCACAGATACAGAGAACAAACTGGTGGTGACCAGTGGGGAGGGGTCAGGGGGAGAGGCAAGGCAGAGGATGAAGAGGTACAAATACTATGTGTAAAATAAAGAAACTGCATGGATATACTGTACAGCACGGGGAATCCAGTCATCTGGAGAGATTTTCAAAGCATGACAGGCCCCACCTCAGATAAATTAAATGAGAATCTCTAGGGGGTGACCGACCCCTGGGCATGAAGTCTTTCCTTTTTTTTTAAGCTCCTCAGAGAATTCCAATGTGCAGCTAGTTGAGAACCACTGCTAGGTTGATGGCATTATCTTTTTGCATGGAAAGTCAGAACTTTCTTACCATGTCCGGTGAAAACCTGACTGCCTTTGTTGTAGCCCCTACAACTACAGTTTCCTGAAAGGCCAAGTTCTCTCGTTGGTTAGGCATAGGTCACGGTAGTTATGGGAAGATTTATCCTGTAATTAAGAATAAGATGAAATTTAATTGCTGTAGAAAATTACATTGTACCATATA